CATCGGCGCCCTGTCGCTGCCTTGCTCAAGAGCAGAACGGCTGATCTTTCCACTTTGCCCGGCCGGGGGAGTCGAACCAGCGACCTTTCGGTTACTGGCCCAACGTTCTTAACCACTTAAGGGTAAGGTAAGTGTGTGTGTGTGTGTGTTTGTGTGACACCCCCCTAAAGGGCTTTCTGCGTTGGACTCTCAGGGGAGGCATTTTGTTTAAACTTTCAGGGGCACTCGGCCCATCTCTGAGACATGGCTCAAATGGAAAAAAAAGAAGAAGAAAACGATTGTGACAAAAGACTTCTCCCTCCCTTCAGTTATCAGCCATTCCTTCAGACACACTCGCCTCCTCAGCCCAGGGGCAGGGAGTCTGCAGCCCCCCCCCCCCCCAAATAAAAGTGACTCAGTGAACCCCCTGTCCTCCAAGGAGGGATAGTGAGCTGGAGAGAGCCAACTGAAATTAATTAATATATATAACAATCTGAAATTAACTTCCCATAGCCACCAGCCATCTTTTAACTGGCGTGAGAGACTGAGTGGTGAGACATGGAGGGAGAAAGGGAGAGAATAGAGAGATAGAGAGAGAGTTACAAATATGCTGTAAGACTGCTAGAAGTATAATTGTCCCACAAAGTAAAACTTCTCAATTATCCCATCCTAAAGATAGTTTAGTCCACCACCCCTATATTGCTATATTGCCAATCTAAGAGAAAAAGTAGTTACTATTATTAAGAGGAAAGCATTCAATCGGCCAAACAAACAAACAAAATATATACAGTGAGCAACAACAACAACAAAAAATACTAATAGAATTGCTCAGAGAAGGAGATGTTGTTTAACAAGTAATAAATATTTTTCTCATAAAGATATGGGTCAAAATTATTGGCACCCCTGTTTTCAATACCTTGAGATGATAACGGCACTGATCCTTTTTCATAAATGTTTTATGAGATTTGGTACCACGTTGGGAGGGATCTTAGACCATTCCTCCATACAGAATCTTTCCAGATCTTTGATATCCTGTCTGCGCTTATGGACTGCCCTCTTCAAATCAAACCACAGGTTTTCAATGGGGTTGAAGTCTGGAGACTGAGATGGCCAATGCAAAATGTTGATTTTACGGTCAATTAACAATTTCTTTGTGGATTCTGATGTGTGCTTGGGGTAATTGTATTGCTGGATGATCCACTTGCAGCCAAGATTCAGAGGCAACCAAGTTTTTGGCTAAAATGTCCTGGTACTGGGTAAAGTTAATGATGCCATTGATCTTAACAAGGGTCCCCAGGACCAGTGGAAGCAAAATAGCCCCATAACATCAAAGATCCACCACCATATTTTACATTAGGTATGGGGTTATTTTCTGCTCATGCATTCTCATTTCAATGCCAAACCCACCACTGGTGTGCATGGCCAAAGAATTCTATTCTACCTGACCGCAAGATCTTCCAGCAAGACAATGACCCCAAGCACACATCAAAAAACAGAAAGAAATGGTTAATTAGTTTTCCAATCTCATAAAACATTTCAGAAAAATGTTCAGTGCTGTTATCCTCGTAAGGTGATGTATTGAAAGGTATTGAAAACAGGGATGCCAATAATTTTGACCCCTATCATTTTGAGAAGAAAACATGACTTATTAAACAAAAATATATTACCTGAGCCATTATATTAGTATAAAATAACATAATTGTAAAAAAAATTGGAGCATAAAATATGGCTCAGTATTTGTGTTATTTATTTTTGAGTCTTTTTTGCTCATCTTGGTTCATCCAATCATTTCTGACCCCACTGTATTTCATTGGTATCAACTACAAAAATATAATGGGTAAAAATAGTGGGTATTTTTAGACGTATACATTACTTTCCCTGTCTGAACGTTTTGAATAGAACATAGAAATAGTGCCTTGATCTAAATTAAAGTCAAACAGCTAATCAAAGTTTTAAATTAAAGAAGAGAAGGTTCTCAAACTACCTGCTTCAAGGGGAAATTAACCGGATCCATGAGACATTATCTAAATTAATGAAATACTGGACTACGAAATGATTTGGACCATATTATGTATCATTTATTTAATACATTTTCCCGTTTAATCAAAGTTCATATAGTAAAATGTGCAAGGTGAGATCAGAAAAGTAATATTATTTCCTCTTCTAAACTTTTAAATAATAATAATGATAATAATAATACTTTATTAATTGCTTTGTTGCTTTGCCACAACAAAATACTTGAAATGGACAACTCGTAAACAATGAGTTATGGTAAATATAAATGCAATTTTTGTTCTCATTTATTCACACTTAATTTAAATCTGATAACTAAAACTATTATCTCATGATACAGAAACACAATTGCTTCAATGTAAAGCTTTGATTTCATGCAGACAGTTACTAAGATACACTAAAAGACTGACACATATAGCCTTGTATATAAAACACCAACACTCTTCTTCATCCCCTATTTTGGTAATGATCCTAACGTAAATCTCAAGAGTGTGCAACAAAAAGTATAGAACTAGTTGTTCTACTTTTAAAAGCACTGCTGTTGTTGATGACAATAAAAGCTATAAGAAAGGGGGGGCATTCTGACCCAAACTATATTCATCTTATCAAAAATGCAATTAAATCAAAGTGCTAAGGCCTGAAGCTAGGATGAGCCGCGTCAATTCTGTTCCAAATGACAGAGAAAATGACAGTAGTAGGGTTTGTGGATTTCACAAACACTTTTTTGATTAGTGAGTCAATTATTTCTCATTACCGAAGATGCTATTTGGGAAAAGACCTTGTCACTCAATCACGTAAAGAAGAAGTTCTCTAAAGAACGAGGGATAAACCATTAAACGGGGGGGGGACAGAGTGACCCTTTCCCCCCCAAACTCCACTTCTAGTCAAATTACCTTTTTAACTATTAAGGCTCTGTCAGGTCTTTGTCAGGTTATGGTAATTAGGAGCTTCACTGGTGGAGGACATTTGAAAAGAAAATAGTTTATTTATTAGTTTGTCTCTCTGAGGAAGACAGTTACACAGTGCTGAAGGTAAGTTTAAATGTGGTGATTATCTTGTCATTTTCAGGCTGCGTGTGAGTGTATGTGTGTTTCGAGTGTATGTATTTACTATTTTCAGAACAGTGATGTGAGAGACTGCTTCATGGCAGTTTGTGCAGGCCTCTTTGTTCTGTGCTGGGTTTGACACATCTACACAATACACTCAGCCACCTCCATACAGTGCCTGGACTATATGTGCCAATTAACCCAATCAAGAATATATTCGGATTTCTCCACCCCTTTAAAATAACTCCACCCAAATCAATAATTCACTTCTACCGTCTGTCACAAAAACAGCCATATCCAAAGGAAAATTAGCAAATTAGATATAAATCAAATCCATACAGTAACGACATAGGCCTGGTCATTATATATTTTTTGTTCAATAGCTTGTGATAAACTAGTTAAGTGGAAACAAAGGCATGTACTCTGTGCTCTTCGGGAGTGCTCCTCTCTGGGCTCGGCTAGATGCCCTGCCCCGACCCAGGTTCCAGGAGGTAACGCTAGCCTCCGGCCTAACGGGCCTCTCTCTTTCTCTGCTAATGACCTGGCCAGCTCTGTGTGCACGGTGGCCACAAAACAGACACCCAGTGTCATACACAGTGTCACCCAGGGGACAGAGTGGAAACCTGGGGATGGAGAGGGGAATGAGAGCCTGTCACCGAGAGGGGCCTCTGAGGGCTGGAGGTGAACCTAGGTGTCTGTGGACTGACTGTCCTCCTGTCCTCTTCTCTTCTCCTCTCCTTTCCTTCCTCTCCTCTCCGCTGTTCCAGACTCTTTCATTAACCCCAGAGCCAGGGTTCAGCATCAGACCAGACACAGAATGTACCTCTACACCACCTAGCCAGGGTTGACCATCAGACCAGACACATAATGTACCACTGTGTGCTACACCACTTCAGCTGCCATACCACAGACCTAACGGCAATTGTATTATTAAATGTATTCAGATCTACAGCAGATGAGAGAGCCACCCTTCACCACACACACACACACAGTTATCCAGACCTGCAATGGGGAGAGAGAGGTAACAAAGGACAGGCAGTGCCCCCTAGTGTTTTCATCAAAGAGAAATGAGACCAAATCAAGTAACCATCTCCCCGAACATAAAAAAAGAGAGAGGGAAGGAGGGATGGGTGGAGAGTGAGAGGAGTGAAGAGGTTTGAGTCACAGGGGATGTGGCATCACATCTGATAGGCTTGGGGGGGGGGGGGGGGGGGGGGGGGGGGGGGGGGGGGGGGGGGGGGGGGGGGGGGGGGGGTGGAAGGTGGTGAGGAACGGAACGGGTGGGGGGGTATTAGAAGATTTTTGACACAGCCAAGATGTTTTTAATGTTCCAGGCAGGCAGCTTGAGACAGAGAGAGAGTGAGAGAGAGTGAGAGAGAGATCAAGTGAGCGAAAAGAGAGAGAGAGCGAGAGAAAGAGCGAGAGAGCGAGAATGTGGGCAGGCGAGGCAGAGAGAGAATAGCAGGCCATGCATGAAAGCCGATGTCAGCGAGTCCAGAGGAATGGTGGAGTGTGAAGGCGTCTAATAGGAAGAGCTGAATGCAGAAGGTACAGAGACACAGGCTGAATAACTAAAGCCAGCGTGGCCTGGCCACTGATTCAATCTCACACGCTTGCGCACACACACTTGTACAACACACACACACACACACATTTGCACGCATGTGCACGCACGCAAATTAATAACTGCCACAAGCCAGGAGGAATGGACATATACACAGGCCCCACACAATCACATACGCAAGACAAGCCAAACAGAGAGAAACGCACCGGCAAAGACACAAGCACATGTGAAAGTACACACTAATACACAGGTATATGATCACATACATGGTTACATATACGCACAATTAAGACACACTACAAATGATTTATCCATGCACACAGTCTTGGGCATTCTTGAGCATGTAAACATATAGTTATAAACCCACACAAACACAGAGACACGTAGTGAAGCTCACGCTAGAAGAAGAAGAAGAAGAAGAAGAAGAAGAAGAAGAAGAAGAAGAAGAAGAAGAAGAAGAAGAAGAAGAAGAAGAAGAAGAAGAAGAAGAAGAAGAAGAAGAAGAAGAAGAAGAAGAAGAAGAAGAAGAAGAAGAAGAAGAAGAAGAAGAAGAAGAAGAAGAAGAAGAAGAAGAAGAAGAAGAAGAAGAAGAGCAAAAGGTCCAGGTCAGTCTGATTCCCTTTCTCTGTATATCTCTCCGGCCCCTCAATTCAAACTCCTCTATTACACACACATCGGCTTGTGTGTGAGTGTGTTTGTGTGTGTCTTTTTTCTTTCTTTCTGGGATGGACAGTGCAGTGCGTAGCCTCAGATTCCCACCGTGAAACAAGGCCTGCACCTCGGTGAGTTCCGCATTCAGCTCCGAGCTAGCTTTGACATCAAAGGCTGTTCCAAGCCAGGAGGCAAAGACGCAGAGGTTCTCTCTCCCTTTCATTTTTTTCTTCCCTCTCTGCTGCTTCACAACCCCATCATATTTCACAGCACATAAAACCTTAAAATGGCACATAAAACAGTTCATCTCTTTTCAGTGTCCGCTTTCCGGACTTAAAAATTAAATATGTTTTAGCGCAGGTACATAACTTAAACATACCCCCACAAAAAACAGTTGTAAAGAATTCAAACATGGGTCTTGATGTATTGGAAGGTGAGGTGTCGCATATAATACCACCACAACAGCATAGCACAATAAGAACACACTGCCAGATGGACTAGTAGACAGCTTCCTTGTATGATATTCTGTCTTTACCTTGACAGTATTATCCCCTGTGAGTGCATGTGAAAAGTGTGCACGTTGCACGCCACAAAAATAAACTCTACCAAAAACATACAGGGGAAAAAGTCAACCTGGAATTTCAAAAGTTCTTTCTACAGAGTGCCATAAAATACCTTCTCTACAATAAACGTAGACAGCACAGAGACATGGAGAGAGACGGAGAGAGAAAGGCAGGAGGAGAGGGGAGGAAGGGAGGGGAAGAGGGAGGTAGAGAAGAGAGAGAGACAGTGGGAGAGGGCTGCAGAGTCAACCCAGAGTCACAGACATTGGTACCGGGGTCCGCCTCTCCTCCCCCGAGATCTTTTCAACCACTTATTTTCTCTGTTCTACTTTTTACTATTTTACTGTTCTACTATTTCAGCCAGCTGTGAGTCGCAGGTAAAAGCTGTCGTATCACTCGCATTTAGATATCATCGAGCAATACCTACAAGACCGGGCCAGGTCAATTTCCTTCTATTTACTTTTTGATGGTATGTATTTAAATGGGAGTGTAGCTATTCCGATTCACTGAAATTGGTAGTATTCCCAAAAGGAAATGTAGGATAAAGGCGAGACGTTAGACAGGCTATTCGGCTGAGCTATCTGTTGTCTCCGATCATTCTCACCTTCCATCTTCTCTCTGCAGTCTACCCCTTCACTATCCTAAGCAGCTAAATGACAGATCGCTAACTACATACTGTTACACTCACAGCACAGACAGAGGGAAAAGAAGACTCGTCAGAGGGAAAAGGGCGCAGAGAGTAAGAGAGGGGGGGGGGGGGAGAGAGAGAGAGAGAGAGAGAGAGAGAGAGAGAGAGAGGAGAGAGAGAGAGAGAGAGAGAGAGAGAGGAGGTCGGGCTCAGGCGGAGTGTAGAGGGAGAGTTCACCTCTGAGGCAGAGCGAGGGAGAGAGACAAAGCGACGGGCTCAGCTAGGAGAGCGGAACAAAGAAAGATGCAGCATGGGAGCCTAGCCACTGACGACGCCGCCACCACTGCTGCTACACACACCACGCAACGCCAGCCTGACCACGCAGTGCGTGTGTGTGTGTGTGGGGGGGAAATTAGCATGTTTGCCCTCTGACACCGTGCAGGTACACAAAAAGAGAAAGCATAAAATGACTTTGGCTTTGTCTGCGCCATCAGTGGCGAGTTCAATCTGAGAAGAGATGGACAGAAAAGGAGGGAGAGATGGAGAGAGGTGTAGAGACAGAAAAAAACAACATGTAAAAGACAGGAGAATCAGGGGACGGGGGGGGGGGGGGGGGGGGGGGGGGGGAATATTTCTCTCTCATTGTTAGAAAGCAAGGGTTGAAATAGAGGGTGAGGAAGGAGGGAAGGAGGGGGCTGGAGGGGAGGAGAAGGTGGAAGCTGTTCGATTTTAGCTGGAAGCTGATAATACTCTGGTACTGCATGTACGGTGGGGCTCAGATGGAGGAAGAGTGTTTGTGTGTGTGTGCCAATGAATGTGTGTGTATTTTGTGCACTACAAGTATATTTGCATGAACACACCATTATATGAGAAGATAAAGGTAGAGAAGGAGGGAGAGGATGAAGAGGTAACTAGAAGGAGGAGGGAGAGGATGAAGAGGTAACTAGAAGGAGAAGGAGGGAGTGGATGGAGGTAACTAGAAGGGTGAAAGAGAAACTGACTCTGCTAACTGTCAGAGGGAGAGGAGTCAGGAGTGTGACAATTTATTAAGATATTACTGGTAAAGTTTTCACTCTTCTCTCCTCCTCTCTTTCCCTGGCAGGTCTATGATGTTGGATGTGAACTCTGTGTAGCACTGTCTCCGGGAAAAAACTAAACGATCAATGCGAGGAGGCACCGGGCTCTCATGGACAGGCCAATCAATGCTAAAAAGAACCTTGCCCAGGGCCTTATGCAAATATAAGCACGTCCTGTAACCTCGGGAGCGAACATGCGCAGTAGATCAATGGTTCTGGGTAAAACCTTACAGCTATATCAGCTGCAGCCAGTAAATATGTAATGATGAATCCCTTAAGATTCAAGTGAACTCTTAAACTAGGTTGGTTTCCTTCACCGGCCTGAAAAGGAGGAAGGGAATAAAAAAAGCCTATCCTTACACAACAGGCTAGGATGGATAGATTTTTCTCTCCTTTTCACTTGGCGAGAAATGGAATAAGAGAGGACCAAAAAAAAAATGTGAGAGAGGAGAATTATGAATAGTCACTTTAACAATCCTTGTTTGAGATGTAATGATTTTCAATTATATTGCCATGGTAACGTGTGTGTGTGTTTGTGGGGAGGAAGAGCGGTGTGGGGAGGAAGAGCGGTGTGCGTCGTCGAGGCGACCCGGTGAAACCCTGAACCCTCCGACACAAGACAGCATGATGGGAAAGAAAGAAAAAAGAGGATTAAACCACACAACAAAAAAAGAATACATTGTACAATAGATGTAGAAATCTTTCCATTCTACCGCAGAGGTGTTTATTTGATTTTGTAACAGTACTGGCTGACACCTGATGGGTGATTAATAGAAATGTTCTATATGTTCAATTTTGTTATCTATATATCTACACTACCAGGTAAAAGTTTGGACACACTCATTCCAGGGTTTTTCTTTATTTTTGACTATTTTCTACATTGTAGAATAATAGTGAAGACATCAAAACTATGAAATAACACATATGGAATCATGTAGTAACCCAAAAATGTGTTAAACAAATCAAAATATATTTTATTTTTCAGATTCTGTAGCCACCCTTTGCCTTGATGACAGCTTTGCACACTCTTGGCATTCTCTCAAGAAGCTTCATGAGGAATGATAGTACGTTATCTATGTCATATATCTATACGTTATTATATTAGAGAAAATGAATACATTTGATAATAGAAACATAATGTACAAATCACAAAAACACACATGAACACACACGCCCGACGCATGCACACACACACACAATCACAAACAGTTTCACAGTGTAAGCAGCCTTCACTGTAAACAGCCAGAGACTATGTAATTCAGCTAGAATGCTAACTATACTGATCAAAATTATGAACGCAACACGCAACAATTTCAAGATTTTACTGAGTTACAGTTCATATAAGGATATCAGTCAATTGAAATAAATAAATTAGTCCATAATCTATGGATTTCATATGACTGGGAATACAGATATGCATCTGTTGGTCATAGATACACAAAAGTATGTGGACACCCCTTCAAATTAGTGGTTTTGGCTATTTCAGCCACACCCGTTGCTGATAGGTGTATACAATCGAGCACACAGCCATGCAATCTCCATAGACAAACATTGGCAGTAGAATGGCCCGTACTGAAGAGCTCAGTGACTTTCAACTTGGCAACGTCACAGGATGCCACCTTTCCAACAAGTCAGTTCGTCAAATTTCTGCCCTGCTAGAGCTGCCCCGGTCAACTGTAAGTGCTGTTTTTGTGAAGTCGAAACGCCTAAGAGCAACAACGGCTCAGCCGCGAAGTGGTAGGCCAGACAAGCTCACAGAACGCAACCGCCGAGTGCTGAAGCGCGTAGAGCGTAAAAATCTTCTGTCCTCTGTTGCAACACTCACTACGAGTTCCAAACTGCCTCTGGAAACAACGTCAGCACAAGAACTGTTAGTCAGGAGCTTCATGAAATGGGTTTCCATGGCTGAGCAGCTGCACACAAGCCTAAGATCACCAAGCAAGAGAGAGAGAGAGAGATGTAGGACACTATGTACTTGGTGGATAACAGGTGGATAACAGAGCCAGCCGAGGTTAGAGAGGAGATCTGTGGCTGATTCATCTGGTCTGCTCTTAGGAGGGGTCAGTCCGTCTAGACAGTCTTTACGTATCACCCTAAACAGCAGCAAAGAGACACCAGCAAGTATGCACGCACATACATCTTAACATCTCTCTCTCTCTCTTGCTTGGTGATCTGCATGAGCTTGATTGTGAAGCATTACCCCAGAAACAAAAATGCAAATAGACAACCAACTAAACAATCGCCCGTGAATCGAGTTACGGCAGGCGGCAGCACAGAGATAAACACTTCACAAACTCACCAAAAATGGAATCTATTAACCAAAAATGATTGAGGAAATAAAGAAAATGACGGCAGGCTATTGAGGTGAAATTTTCACAAAGGCTATTGTGAGTATCCCTTTCAGACGGCAAAGCCGCCGTCATTTCAGAGACCGCCATCTTGCTACGTCTCGTCACAATGCTGCGGTAGTAGCACTTTAAAATGGATGGCCAATGAAGGCCATTTGTACATAATCACGGTGGGTGTCTGATAGATGGTTTCAGTGGGGGTACAATGTGTTGCGTGGAAGAAAGGCTTTGGTCTATCAATCTAGCAAGCCGCTGTAGGTATTGAGGTTTCTTTCAAAAACAAGCAAATCAATTAAAATGAAACCAGGTATGTAGGCAGGACATTTAAACAGTCCAATTTAGCCTAAGCGGGGAGGGAGCTCTCCGAGACTATTCATCAAGAGATAGAAATTAGATGTCTGTATTTCAGCTCTATAATACAGCACAGACATAAAGCATGTATAGGGAATTATATAATAATAATGTAGTTGACACAGACATACACGTGCCAGATACATACTCCCGAGTGGCGCAGTGGTCTAAGGCACTGCATCGCAGTGCTAGCTGTGCCACTAGAGATCCTGGTTCGAGTCCAGGCTCTGTCGCAGCCGGCCGCGACCGGGAGACCCATGGGCGGCGCACAATTGGTCCAGCGTCTTCCAAGGTAGGGGAGGGTTTGGCCGGCAGGGATGTGGGTTCGTTTCCCACAGGGGGCCAGTATGAAAAAAATAATTAAAAAAAGACATGTATGCATTCACTAACTGTAAGTCGCTCTGGATAAGAGCGTCTGCTAAATGACTCAAATGTAAATGTGATACATACACACACACTGTATGTGCGCATGCAAACACACACACACACAGGGCTGTGTATCTTCAACTGAGGGGCTGCTGTCTTGCTGTGCTGGCTGGCAGGCACTTTTATCATGGTGGTCCTTTTGTTTCACATCAAACAAAATGGAGCGCTTTGCATACAGCTCCACCAATTTTTGCTAGTGTGTCCCTCCATTTATCATTGCCGCTCACCCTCTCCTCCCTAACGTGGCTCTGATAGCACACCTCAACACGCACGCCTGACTCAACACTGCTGCTCTGCCTGCTAGACAGACTGGCTTCTCCAGGCTATCACTATATATATATATATATATATATATATATATATATATATATATATATATATATATATATATGTGTGTGTGTGCGTGAGTGAGTGAGTGAGTGAGTGAGTGAGTGAGTGAGAGAGAGAGAGAGAGAGGGAAGCAAAGAGAGAGGGTGCGAGAGAGAAATAGAGAGAGAGAGCGAGACTCCCACTGCACCCCGCCAGCTACAGTGCCTTGCGAAAGTATTCACCCCCCCCTGGCATTTTTCCTATTTTGTTGCCTTACAACCTGGAATTAAAATTGATTTTGGGGGGGTTTGTATCATTTGATTTACACAACATGCCTACCACTATGAAGATGCAAAATATGTTTTATTGTGAAACACAAAACTTGAGCGTGCATAACTATTCACCCCCCCCCCCCCCCCAAAGTCAATACTTTGTTGAGCCACTTTTTGCAGCAATTACAGCTGCAAGTCTCTTGGGGTATGTCTCTATAAGCTTGGCACATCTAGCCACTGGGATTTTTGCCCATGCTTCAAGGCAAAACTGCTACCGCTCCTTCAAGTTGGATGGGTTCCGCTGGTGTACAGCAATCTATAAGTCATACCACAGATTCTCAATTGGATTGAGGTCTGGGCTTTGACTAGGCCATTCCAAGACATTTAAATGTTTCCCCTTAAACCACTCAAGTGTTGCTTTAGCAGTATGCTTAGGGTCATTGCCCTGCTGGAAGGTGAACCTCCGTCCCAGTCTCAAATCTCTGGAAGACTGAAACAGGTTTCCCTCAAGAATTTCCCTGTATTTAGCGCCATCCATCATTCCTTCAATTCTGACCAGTTTCCCAGTCCCTGCCGATGAAAAACATCCCCACAGCATGATACTGCCACCACCATGCTTCACTGTGGGGATGGTGTTGTCGGGGTGATGAGAGGTGTTGGGTTTGCGCCAGACATAGTGTTTTCCTTGATGGCCAAAAAGCTCAATTTTAGTCTCATCCGACACGAGGACCTTCTTCCATATGTTTGGGGAGTCTCCCACATGCCTTTTGGCGAACACCAAACGTGTTTGCTTATTTTTTTCTTTAAGCAATGGCTTTTTTCTGGCCACTCTTCCGTAAAGCCCAGCTCTGTGGAGTGTACAGCTTAAAGTGGTCCTATGGACAGATACTCCAATCTCCACTGTGGAGCTTTGCAGCTCCTTCAGGGTTGTATTTGGTCTCTTTGTTGCCTCTGATTAATGCCCTCCTTGCCTGGTCCATGAGTTTTGGTGGGCGGCCCTCTCTTGGCAGGTTTGCTATGGTGCCATATTCTTTCCATTTTTTAATAATGGATTTTAATGGTGCTCCGTGGGATGTTCATAGTTTCAGATATGTTTTTATAACCCAACCCTGATCTGTACTTCTCCACAACTTTGTCCCTGACCTGTTTGGAGAGCTCCTTGGTCTTCATGGTGCCGCTTGCTTGGTGGTGCCCCTTGCTTAGTGGTGTTGCAGACTCTGGGGCCTTTCAGAACAGGTGTATATATACTGAGATCATGTGACACTTAGATTGCACACAGGTGGACTTTATTTAACTAATTCTGTGACTTCTGAAGGTAATTGGTTGCACCATATTTTATTTAGGGGCTTCATAGCAAAGAGGGTGAATGCATATGCACTTCAATTTTTTAAGTTATTTTTTTCATTTCACTTCACCAATTTGGACTATTTTGTGTATGTCCATTACATGAAATCCAAATAAAAATAAATTTTAATTACAGGTTGTAATGCAACAAAATGGGAAAAACGCCAAGGGGCATGAATACTTTTGCAAGGCACTGTACGTGAAACCTTGAGACAGAAAAAAGCCTACTACACTAAACTACTCAGACTTTCAGAGGAAAGGGTATGAATACACTACCGGATGGGGATGTGGGAGTCATTTAGCAGACACTCTTATCCAGAGTGACTTACAGTACATTTACATTTACATTTTAGTCATTTAGCAGACGCTCTTATCCAGAGCGACTTACAGGAGCAACAGTAGTGAGTGCATCCATTTTTCATACTGTGTAGGCTAAAGGAACATATTAGTGATTTGGCCAGTGGCGCGCCACAGGAGAGCTGGCTGATTGGCACAGTGTTGCCACTACACCATGTGTTCAGACTGAAGCCTTGGCTGGTGCCAGTCCTGGGCACTGCCAGGCTCCGAGTCCTGGATGGGGGGGGGGGGGGGGGCAGAGAGGAGCTGAGCAGAACTGGCCCCAGGGTCACTATGGGCCAGCAGTACAGCGGCTGGAGAGAGGCAGGAGGAAGAGGCAAAGAAAGAGGACAGGCTGAGGCAGAAGCCACTGAAAACTTTGCCTAAGTTACATCCCAGAGAACTTGACACCCAGAGCAGAAATAATGACAGTTCTCTGAAAGCTCCAGGGATAGACCCAAATCCTGACCTGATACGCACATTAACATCAATGCAGGAGAAAGTTCTCTTGGTGTTTGTCAAGTTCGGCATCCAGCCAAAGTCACGCTTGTCTCTCCACCAAACGGTGATGGAACATGGTCTGGAAATAGCTCTCCCACCGCAGCCACCATAATCATCTAACTCCTAGCATCTCATCCACCCACTGAGAGTCCATAGGGAATGCATGTCCTCCAACTTCTTCTCCACAACGCATCCTCCTCAGCCCTTATCAAACAACACGGCATCTGCTCACATCTGAGACTACCTACGTATGGAGAGAGAGAGGGAAGAGATACCGTAGAGAAATATATCCATATTCCCCACAGAGAAAAATACACACAGAACCTATATACTGTACATACAGCACACCACATACACAGGCACAAACACGTGTGTGTGTGTGTGTGTGTGTGTGTGTGTGGGTGTGTGTGTGTGAATAGACCAAAACATCCTGTATGTTCTGTTGTGAGGTGGAGATGGTGGGGCGGTTGGTTGGCACCCACACAATTGCGTATTGGGAGACAGATGCATTCTTACATAAGCCCTTATATAACACGGCTCCGTCTTGTCCAATAACCGTGCTCCTTTTTCACTGCGGGAGTGGGAAGGTTAACGCGGGTTAGACACCCCCCATCCCCCTCCGTGCCGCGCTTCCCCCTCCTCACCCCTGGCAACGGAGGAAGACGAAAAGGGGAGTGCAGGCAGACAGACAACTAGGAAGGTTAGGAAGGCAGGCAGGCAGGCTGACAGACAGGCAACTAGGAAGGTTAGGAAGGCAGGCAGGCAGGCTGACAGACAGGCAACTAGGAAGGTTAGGAAGGCAGGCAGGCAGGCTGACAGACAGGCAACTAGGAAGGTTAGGAAGGCAGGCAGGCAGGCTGACAGACAGGCAACTAGGAAGGTTAGGAAGGCAGGCAGGCTGACTGGCAACTAGGAAGGTTAGGAAGGCAGGCAGGCTGACTGGCAACTAGGAAGGTTAGGAAGGCAGGAAGGCAGGCTGACAGACAGGCAACTAGGAAGGTTAGGAAGGCAGGCAGGCAGGCTGACAGACAGGCAACTAGGAAGGTTAGGAAGGCAGGCAGGCTGACTGGCAACTAGGAAGGTTAGGAAGGCAGGCAGGCTGACTGGCAACTAGGAAGGTTAGGAAGGCAGGAAGGCAGGCTGACAGACAGGCAACTAGGAAGGTTAGGAAGGCAGGCAGGCAGGCTGACAGACAGGCAACTAGGAAGGTTAGGAAGGCAGGCAGGCAGGCTGACAGACAGGCAACTAGGAAGGTTAGGAAGGCAGGCAGGCAGGCTGACAGACAGGCAACTAGGAAGGTTAGGCAGGCAGGCAGGCTGACAGACAGACAGGCAACTAGGAAGGTTAGGAATGCAGGCAGGCAGGCTGACAGACAGGCAACTAGGAAGGTTAGGCAGGCAGGCAGGCAGGCTGACAGACAGGCAACTAGGAAGGTTAGGAAGGCAGGCAGGCAGGCTGACAGACAGGCAACTAGGAAGGTTAGGCAGGCAGGCAGGCTGACAGACAGACAGGCAACTAGGAAGGTTAGGAATGCAGGCAGGCAGGCTGACAGACAGGCAACTAGGAAGATTAGGAAGGCAGGCAGGCACGCTGACAGACAGGCAAGCAGACAGGCAGGCAGGCAGGGAGACAGGCAGACAGATAGGCAGACTGGGGCTCTCACTGGTATGTGTGTGTGTGTGTGTGTGTGTGTGTGTGTGTGTGTGTGTGTGTGTGTGTGTGTGTGTGTGTGTGTGTGTGTGTGTGTGTGTGTGTGTGTGTGTGTGTGTGTGTGTGTGTGTGTGTATGTATGCATTTGCGTGTCGATGCGGGTATGAGTGGGTCCATGCACACAGGATAGCTGGTCCCTGACATCCTATCCATGCCATTTGAATGGGCTTGGCTGGTACTTGTAGCAAATGAAAGTCAGGGGTGTATATATAATCTAGGCGCTCTACACTGAGACCTACAGGTAACTGCCAAAATAACGGGAACACTTGAGTAAATGAGGGATACAACGTATATTGAAAGCAGGTGCTTCCACACAGGTGTGGTTCCTGAGTTAATTAAGCAATTAACATCCCATCATGCTTAGGGTCAGGTATAACAATTCTGGGCAGGCTATGATTTTGGTTACCATGGCTATGCCCCCATAGGATGACAACGCCCCCATCCACAGGGCACGAGTGGTCACTGAATGGTTTGCTGAGCATGAAAACGATATAAACCATATGCCATGGCTGTCTGTCACCAGATCTCAACCCAATTGAACACTTATGGTAGATTCTGGAGCGGTGCATGAGACAGCATTTTCCACCACCAACAAAACACCAAATGATGGAATTACTCTTGGAAGAAGGGTGTCACTTTCCTCCTATAGAGTCCCAGACACTTGTAGAATCTATGCCAAGGTGCATTCAAGCTGTTCTGGCTTGTGGTGGCCCAACGCCCTATTAATACACTTTCTATTGGTGTTTCTTTATTTTGGTGTTACTTGTAAATTACCAGTCAGTCAAACATGTGATCTAGTTGCTTTGATTATCAGAACGCTTTCACAGAGAGGACAAGGCAAAAGTGTTGGATCACGTCCAACTACATCAACAATTTTAATTGGCTAACTCTTTTATCACGTGCAGGTTCATCGACAATTTGAATTGGCTGATGTGCATTTTGAGATGGAGAAAACAGTTTCACTTAAACTTTTTCTAATGTTCGCAAGTATGACCCATTTGTTTACAATTACATTGTTTACTAACATTGGAGTAAAAAAAATGTATATTTGGGGTTCTGATGGGGTACGACAGTTGAACTAAGCTCATGAGGTATTTATAAGTTATATTATTCAAGAATCAATGAGTATGTCATTGATTTAAAGTCCAAAAATTGATTTACCAATCACAGATTGAAGTTTTAAAGCCAAGTACAAGTCCTACAGAGAGAGAGAGACAGAGAGAGACAGAGAGACGGAGAGGAGAGAAGAGGGGAGAGCAGATGGAGAGAGAGTTGAGAGGAGAGATGATCTGGAGGAGAGAGGAGAGGAGTGATCGGAGAGCAGCGATGTGAGAGAGAGAGGCGAGGAGAGAGAGAGAGTAGGAGAAGAGGAGAGAGAGAGAGGGGAGAGAGAGAGAGTGAGAGAGCAGAGAGGACAGAGAGACAGAGAGGATCGAAGAGAAGAGGAGAGAGAGAGAGAGAGAAGAGGCGGCGAAGTGAGAGTGTTGAGAGAGAGAGAGAGTGAGACAGAGAGGACAGGAGAGAATAAAAAGAGAGGGAGGACGTTGTGAAGAGCGATGGAATCGGAGAAGGAAAGTAAGTATACGGATCGGGATAGGTGGGTTTGATAGAGGTTGGTTTGATAGAGCAAAAGAGAGAAGAGAGGAGGGATGGAGGGAGGGAGAAGGTTAGGCTACTATTCACTCCAACATAGGGATTAACATGGGTAACCGGGATCCTGGGACTATCCCAGGAGCACTCTTCACATTTCCCCCCAAAAATGTATGAGAAGACTCTGGAAATTACAACATTTTAATGCAATTCCACAAAATACACAACATGAGCAGAACCAGATTAGCCAAAAATTAAATGGCACATTATCCAAACAGGTTGTGGCATGGAAGGTTTTAACCGAGTGTATCTACTTCACATAAAGTCGCCATAAATTCAAAGCGCACGCATAATCGACACTGCCAGACTGCACGCGCGACCAGGATGCAGTAATAAACCCTACAGGAAACCCCTACAGTATAGCCTCTAAAATAATGTGTGCCTCTTTGAGCTGTCATTGTGACTCTTCAGACAGTCACAAATTTGATAGGCCTATGCACAATTCACTACACAGGCATCTCTGTCACAGACATGACGTCTATTAACAATTCAGAGAGGCATGAGGGAAAATGCTATCTTCTCCTGTCCTAGAGTCTAGGCTATTTTTCTATCCAGTCCCAATCCCACTGAAACCCAAAATCCTGACTCCTGACTCGCATGAAAATTCCTAACTTTAGTCTGTAATACATAGGTCGCATTATCAAAGCACGGCTCGCCTATGCATGTCATTATACCGCTATAACATTTCCCCCACTTCTCTGCACTGTCTCGTACTTGCTGCTCATATAGAGAAAGCGTGCTCAACAAAAGGTATGAGAGTAGATATGGATATTTTTTGAACAGAGTTGGTACCTGTTAAGATACCTTGATATTTAAACTATTTGCACTCTTCATCACCCCGTTATTCATGAGCTGATCTCTGTATTATCATCAACTACATTTTGCCAAATAGGAGATATTCGGTCATTCGTTGAGGGAGGTTTATCAAGCAAGATGATCAATGTTGGTCATTTGACTTTTTTCATTTGACTGCCGTCACAACGTTTGTATAATTTGACAGCGCTATACTCGGGGTGCGCTCTGTACGTCCTGATCGCACTCTGTGTCGAGACTGCTGAAATGCGCTGAATTAATTGAGGAACATCATAACGCTTGGAATTTATGAATGGCCTGTTCATAAATTCACAACAATGCCATTGGCGATCAAAGTTCGTTACTCTATCATTCCTAAATCTCAGTTTCATTTGCTCTGAAATCTTTACATAGTGGCACAGCCAAGCCGACAAGGTGGCACAGCGACAATCTTATTTGGGGAGAACCCTGGCATAGTGACAATATATTGGTTTTAAATGCTTTAACTGGCCGCTTCCGATTTTTTTCTGTATTTCCCAGGACTCTCGGGATAAATATGAATTATTCCCGGTATTGAAACTTGGTAGATTCCAACATAAAGCTATCCTCCTCCCTGCAGCAATCTTCTCCCATTCAAAGGCATTTAGCTACTCTTTGATGTAACTATAATTAGTCTATACACACTATGAAGTGTTTTAAAATAAATCAAATTGCAATGAAACAGTTGAGTGCTCCAAACTGGGGGCTAAATGGTAGCGAGCAGAGGAGAGCAGAGCAGGAGAAATTAATCGCAGATTGTTTGATGTGCTTGATCAGAAACGTTTTTATTAACTGCAAAGGGGAGCTATAATTAACCCAGAGACAGCTTGTTTTCTCTGGGTCTGCTCGGGTGTCAAATGGTTCATCCCGCAAGTCTCACATCCCACTCCACCAACCCGTGTCTCTCCCCCTTCCCCCCCGGCCACTTTCTCCTCAATTAGGTGGATGAATGTGTCTGTGTGTGTGTGTGTGTGCATGCTCGTGTGCCTGCAAATGAATGTGAGTGCTTGTGTGTATATTTCTCTGTTTCCGTGTGTATGGTATGTGCATGTGTCCGCACATTAAAGTGTTTGTGTGCATATGTGAATTACAGTGTGGGTTAGTACATTTACAGGATATTGTGGAGAAAGGTCCAGTAACATAGGCTTTTATGAAAGCAACAATGCCCCTACAGTGGCAATGAAGGAACAAAAACCTGATCATTGTTCCCTATGAAGCTAGATCCCAATGGGGAAGAGTAGGGGCTGTCAGGGGATAGCTTGGGGAGGGAGGGCTGTCTGGCCTGGGGTCTTGGTGGGATGGTTGAGCCCCTTAGCTCCATGGCTTGCTGGCCCCAATGCTCCCTAGGGGTCAGGAGTCATGGCTAGTCCAGAGAGGGTGCGGGAAGGAGGGGTGAGGGAGCTATGACACAAGGTAGAGACCCAGGTGATAGGGAAAAATTACAAATATTCAAACATACATGTGTGTGTGAGAGAGAGAGAGACCACACCATCCTCGGCACACACAGAGCCGGGAGGGAATGGCTGTCACGGACAAAACACCACATTAATATTTAGCAGGCACATTAAAATTACAAAATACAAAACAAAAAAAGAGTAGGTTACAGGATAATTTTTTTGTATATTCCTGGAATTACCAGTGGGACAAGTGCCCACACCGCCCACCCCCCACTACTTGTCTCCTCACCTACTCTCAGCTCTTCAAAAGCAGAGGAGAGAGATGCTTTAAATGATGTGGGTTCATGGAGAGTCTACCAGTAAATCCAACAGATCAAAGAGCTATCATCACAACCAGGCTCCTGCACCAGCTGTCAGAGAGAAAGAGAGAGAGCTGTGTGAGCCTAGCGCGCTTAGCACCTAGCCTAGCCTAGCTATCTGAGCACTGCAGAGAGAGACAGAAGGAGAGAGAGCCCTGTGAGCCTAGCACCTAGCCTAGCCTAGCTATCTGAGCACTGCAGAGAGAGACAGGAGGAGAGAGAGCCCTGTGAGCCTAGCACCTAGCCTAGCTATCTGAGCACTGCATAGAGAGACAGAAGGAGAGAGAGCCCTGTGAGCCTAGCGCCTAGCCTAGCCTAGCTATCTGAGCACTGCAGAGAGAGACAGGAGGAGAGAGAGCCCTGTGAGCCTAGCACCTAGCCTAGCCTAGCTATCTGAGCACTGCAGAGAGAGACAGGAGGAGAGAGAGCCCTGTGAGCCTAGCACCTAGCCTAGCTATCTGAGCACTGCAGAGAGGGACAGAAGGAGATAGAGCCCTGTGAGCCTAGCGCCTAGCCTAGCCTAGCTATCTGAGCAGTAAAGAGGGAGACAGAAGGAGAGAGTCCTGTGAGCCTAGCACCTAACCTAGAGCCCGCTACCTGGGTACTGCAACTTGGACTTATTTAACACAGGAGACACATACAGTGAGGGAAAAAAGTATTTGATTTTGTACGTTTGCCCACTGACAAAGAAATGATCAGTCTATAAATTAAATAGTAGGTTTATAATTTTAATTTTAATGGTAGGTTTATTTGAACAGTGAGAGACAGAATAACAACAAAACAATTCAGAAAAACGCTTGTCAAAAATTTTATAAATTGATTTGCATTTTAATGAGGGAAATAAGTATTTGACCCCCTCTCAATCAGAAAGATTTCTGGCTCCCAGGTGTCTTTTATACAGGTAACGAGCTGAGATTAGGAGCACACTCTTAAAGGGAGTGCTCCTAATCTCATCTTGTTACCTGTATAAAAGACACCTGTCCACAGAAGCAATCAATCAATCAGATTCCAAACTCTCCACCATGGCCAAGACCAAAGAGCTCTCCAAGGATGTCAGGGACAAGATTGTAGACCTACACAAGGCTGGAATGGGCTACAAGACCATCGCCAAGCAGCTTGGTGAGAAGGTGACAACAGTTGGTGCGATTATTCGCAAAAGGAAGAAACACAAAAGAACTGTCAATCTCCCTCGGCCTGGGGCTCCATGCAAGATCTCACCTCGTGGAGTTGCAATGATCATGAGAACGGTGAGGAATCAGCCCAGAACTACACGGGAGGATCTTGTCAATGATCTCAAGGCAGCTGGGACCATTGTCACCAAGAAAAGAATTGGTAACACACTACGCCGTGAAGGACTGAAATCCTGCAGCGCCCGCAAGGTCCCCCTTCTCAAGAAAGCACATATACAGGCCCGTCTGAAGTTTGCCAATGAACATCTGAATGATTCATAGGAGAACTGGGTGAAAGTGTTGTGGTCAGATGAGACCAAAATGGAGCTCTTTGGCATCAACTCAACTCGCCGTGTTTGGAGGAGGAGGAATGCTGCCTATGACCCCAAGAACACCATCCCCACCGTCAAACATGGAGGTGGAAACATTATGCTTTGGGGGTGTTTTTCTGCTAAGGGGACAGGACAACTTCACCGCATCAAAGGGATGATGGACGGCGCCATGTACCGTCAAATCTTGGGTGAGAACCTCCTTCCCTCAGCCAGGGCATTGAAAATGGGTTGTGGATGGGTATGCAAAGAGGAGTGGGACAAAATCTCTCCTGAGATGTGTGCAAACCTGGTGGCCAACTACAAGAAAGGTCTGACCTCTGTGATTGCCAACAAGGGTTTTGCCACCAAGTACTAAGTCATATTTTGCAGAGGGGTCAAATACTTATTTCCCTCATTAAAATGCTAATCAATTTATAACATTTTTGACATGCGTTTTTCTGGATTTTTGTTTTGTTATTCTGTCTCACTGTTCAAATAAACCTACCATTAAAATTATAGACTGATCATGTCTTTGTCAGTGGGCAAACGTACAAAATCAGCAGGGGATCAAATACTTTTTTCCCTCACTGTAGCCGTACAGCCAATAATAAACATTGAGAGACGCAACACTGAGAGGTATATATAACCTCAACACTAGAAAAATATAGGCTAGACTTCATTCTAGACTCTCAACACTAGAAAGAGACAAAGATGCAACAGAGACCCCTCCCCTCTCTCTCTCTCCTCTCCCAGGGCTGGTTTAATAGAACCCTTGTTTCTTGATCTATTTCTCTCTCCGTTTTCTCCCTCTCGTTCTTGCTCAGTCTTGATGTGTGGAGGAGAGGAAGTGGATTGCGCCCTAGGACAGGGATGAACTGGCTTGTTTATAGAAGCAGCACTTTCTCAAAGAAACTAAATGTTATTTATTTTTAATCATTCCACCGCATTTCACACGCTACCACACCGGCTGACTGTCCCGGAGGTGGTAGGCTGGGGGTGGGATGAAGGGGGGGTAGAGGAAAGAAAGCAACCACTCACCAACTCCACCAACGACAGGCCTCCGTAGCTGTGCGCCACGACAAAGACGTTCCTGGCGGCGGCTTTGGACACAAAGTGGTCCCACACGTAGAGCACGTGTTCCTCGGGGGAGCCGTTTTCCTGTAACACAAGGATGGAACTTCACGTTACACCCCCAAAACAAAATGAAAACACAAAAAAACACACTGGAGAGTTATAACTGAGTTAGAGAGAGAGAGATTGAAGAAGGGTTGAGAAATCAGTCAGACAGAGAAAAGAGCGTGATAGAGATTGAGTTCAAAAGTTAACTAACTCTGAGAGACATACATGTAAAAAGAGAAAAAGGTCGAGTGAAACTCAGGGAGAGAATGTTCTGTCACAGTATGCAGGCCTATGTATTCCAGAGACAGTGGTTAGAAAAAAATGCAAAAGCGCTGCTGATGGCAGAGGGTGTTTTTTATAAACACTGACTGCTCGCTGGATCAATAAGTCTTGCATATTACAAATGCCCTAAATGTAAAACTCGATAGGCCGCGTGACGTAACGTTTAAATCTTAATTTGTGCCTGGATCGATGGAGCATCTATATGGCAGTAAAGGGGTAATGGGCAAACACAGGGGAAGGTCAGGGGAGGGAACAACAGAGAGGACACACACCCAGTACACACCATGGATATGTCTGACCATAAAGTACACCCACGTGGGTTGTATTTTAATGGAGCATCACTAAGTGCAATTGTTTGTGCCAATCTCCATCTACCCTCAGCATGCAAGATAATCGATTCCCAAATAAATACCCTTTCTGTCAATTGGTGAAACCACTCCAAAGCCATTTCAGAGCAAAAACAGTCTGGTTAAGCTGCCTGCATGGTATTTACTCACAGGGGTAAAAAGTAACAAAGCTTCATGTCCACTTAGCCTAAATGTCTGGGGAGATTGTTGTATACTATGCTGTGACTGAGGGATCTAGTGGTTTATCTGAGGCAATGGCTGTTTCATAGAAGTCAGGGGAAAATGCTGTGTTATTTCACTGACAACACAGCTTACACCCACTCACACCCAAGCTTTGAATTTTAAAAACAGACAAAAGTATACTTTTCAATATAGTTGTTGTTAGGCTGTTGTTATTTTGCTGGGGCGACCATATGTACGTAGGTGTGTGTGTGTGTGAAGGTACAGTAAATGAACCCATCAGCTTGTTTAAGTTTGCTGGCATAATGAGATGGGGAGGGAGGGCGGCTGGGTTCAGAGACAGACTCTACGGAGGGTGATGCAACAGCGGGTAATGCTGCACCCTGCCCTGCCCCGCCCTGATCAACTGCGGGGGGAGGGGGCAGAGTTGGCTGTCTGAAAGGCCTGTGACATCAAAGTCCTTTGAAGTCCTCCTCTCCGTCGCTGTGTCACCCTTCATCTACAGGGCTCTGTTTCATAATCACTTCCTCCCTCCAACTACGCCACCTGTTCTCACTCTCTTCACCTGACCCTCCCTACTGAGGCTAGTTAGCTGGTCGTGTGGACTTACACACATACCTTCTGAATATCCCTCATGTCTAAATCATCTGTTCTTTTTCTTAATATTCAGTGTCAAAAAGGTAGCAGAATAGATAGACAAGAGCACCAGGGTCTTTAAATGGCTAGGTGCTGTGCTGTGTACGAAGGAGTGCTCTGTGTGTTTTAGTGAGGTCCAGTTTCGGCCTGCGCGGCGCGGTAGCGCTGTGACTGCGGCGGGCCTGGTCGCCACGGCAACCGGGCAGCGTCTCCCCTTATCGCCACGGCGCAGAGCCCCGACACCTGGCCCCAACGCACCACACGGCGCCGCACGCCCGCCCGCCCACCTCCCCTGATTGACTACCTGGCCCGATAACACGTTGCATTATCTAAACACTCATTTGCATATTGATGTAATTATTTTCCGGGGTTAATTAGCTCCTGCGAAGCGGGCCGCCCTCAGAGACTAGCTTCCTGTCACACGCCTGCCCGTTTAGCTTATATTTTTTATTTCACTTATTTTCCTTCTCCCCCCAGGTCGTCCGATGTGTGTGCCAGGTCGGACAGATTCCCCACTGATCACCTGTTGCCAGCATCTTCAAGGGATGACTGTCACTGGCATTTTGGAATGCGTGTGCGTACACATGTGTGGATTGATTGTGGCACTGTTGACGGTAGCCACCAGTGCATACAGTATGGAGGGCTGTCCCTCTAGAATATACAATATCAGGATCCTCTCAGGCTTCCAGTTCGCCATTAAACATTCCAGGACCGAAGAACTATAAACACGCTATGTATAAGGCCTATGAATTTGTGTCATGCATCTATCTGTACATTCCTGTTGCTTATCTTTGATTTTAATTAATTCATTGCCCTGTGTTGATCATGTCTTGTTTTGCGCCACACGCCAAAGCCTTTCAAACATACCTGATCTGTTCTCAATTTCCCTCGCATGGCTCTGGAGGGGTCAAAAGGGAAGTAGAAAGAGGTAAAAAGAGTGATGGAGTGGAAGAGAGGGAAGAGAGGCAGAGAGATGTGGTGTAGTGTTGAGTGATTGTCTCAGAGCTAGCTAGCAGGGCAGGTTGACAGCTCCTCTCTCTCTCTGCTCTGTGCTGGTGTCAGTAATCAGTGAGGAACACTGGGCTGATACACTAGTCTTGGAAACCCAGACATACAGTTTGCCTTGTGTTTAGTGTCACTCAAACTTATCCTACCCTAAACAGTCTGGAAACAGACAGCTCGCCCCGTATCCAGCTAATTAATACAAACACACACACCGCCGAGAGCTCCACACACTGGACTGTATGACAGTGAGAGGTTTGTGAGATAACACGCAGGGAGGTAGCACGCAGGGAGGGACAGTAAGCAGGTGATTATGGATAATAGATAAGTGTACAGTGCCTTCAGAAAGTATTCACACCCCTTGACTTTTTCCACATTTTGTTGTGTTACAGCCTGAATTTAAAATGTATTAAATTGGGATTTTGTGTCACTGGCCTACACACAATACCCCATAATGTCAAAGTGGAATTATGTTTTTAGAAATGTTTACAAATTAATTAAAAATGAAAAGCTGAAATGTCTTGAGTCAATAAGTATTCAATCCTTTTGTTATGGCAAACCAAAATAAGTTCAAACCTAAATAAGTCCAGCCGCTCATGTTTGAGCATACGCTCGGATGTGAAGTGGTGTGGTAGGTTGTAACAAAAGCGTGCTTTTCAAAACTTCAAAACTAGGTGTTTAATATCAGTGGTAGATACACCGTTTGAACTTTTTAGTTTGTAAAACAAGCAACAAACATGCATCTAACTCAAAGCAACGCTGGATACCACACATGCCTGTCCACGATACGTGCGTTTGAACTTAAGTTGAAATCCAGAGAAAAATGGAGGCTGCAATGGATCCCAAAACACTGTTTCCCGGTGATCCAGATGACCAGAGGGAAAAGGGCTCAGCGCAACCAGCTAAGTGACCTATATGGTCACTTGACAGCGCTTCAGATTCTCCCCCATCCCAGCCACCTAACCAAGAACTACTTGCTTCCATTGACGCAAAACTAAACAAGCTTGTGTTGTTGGACCGGCTGTAAAACCTCATAGAAGATGTGAAAGAGTTGAAAAATCTCACATATGTTTTATTGGAGAGATACACAAAGGACACTGATGTATTGAAGAAAATGGTGAAGTGTGTACAAACAACTGTGGAAGTCATCACCACTAACAACTTCCAAATGAAGGAGAAAAACCTGGACCTAACTACCCGATCGATGAGAGACAATCTTATCTTGAGAGGAAAATGTGGAGGACACACTGAAAACATTCCTGGTTAATGAACTACAACTGGACAATGACACGGTGCAGAGCATCTCTTTCCATCTGGTCCACCGGGTTGGATCCAAGCGAATGCCAGGAGGGAGCTATGGAGGGCGACCTACTGGCCCCCGTCCAATCGTGGCCAGGTTCGAACATTATAAGCAGAAGGAGCTGGTTCTGAGCCACGGACGGCATCTGGCTGGGAAGCCGTTTGGGATGAACAAACAGTACTCTCCAGAGATCTTCGAGAGATGGCAAAAGCTGTTTCCCGTCTTCAAGGAGCACCGACAGACGGGCTGTAGGGTAAGACTCATTGTTGTCAAACTGTATATTGATGGGAATTTGTACAAGAAGAAGGACATAACTCCTTGGCTATTCCCAGGCATAGCACCTCCCCGAACCCTCTTATCCGTTCTCTGCTAATAGGACTAGCCCAGGGCTTCTAAACTGATTAATATACTTTATACTGAAATCAGCTTAACTCTGTTAGTTATTTTCCTTTTGCTTTGTCTGCAAAAGAGACATTAAAATATGATTTGAATATGGACAAACCTACCCACTGCACATAGCAGTCAATACTTTTTATGTTTAAATGTGGGTTATTCTTTTTTGTTATGTTACATTGTGTAAATTCATCTTAAGGCCCTTCCCATTTACCTGTATTATTCAAGAAAATAAAATGGCCATTTTTTGCATTGACTGGCTATGACGAACTATAGTGGTATTAAAAGTCGGTACATGAAGTTGGCTTTTCAATTGAAATTTACGAATATTAGATGAGTATATCAGGATTAGGCATTGCTAGCTAAAACTGTAATGGCAAAAAAACTTTAAACGTAAAGAGACTGGCTAAATGTCAAAAGAAAGTATCATATAATGTGCTTACAAGAGACTCACTGTACAGCTATGGATGAAGCAAAATGGAAGCGTGATTGGGGAGGTTGCATTTTCTTTAATCATGGCTTAAGCAACAAAAAAGTTGTTTTAAATTCTTATTGGTAATCAGATGAATTATAATATCCATGCGACTATAAAACATCTTCACGGGAGATGGATTATATTAGATATATTAGTGGACAACTTTTGTTTTTGTCTGATCAACCTCTATGCCCCAAATTTGGACGATCCATTATTCTTTGAGAATATTTTAGAGATGATATAGAAATTGAAGGATTGTAACAAACAAATTATAATAGTTGGAGATTTGAATACAGTGATAGATTCAGCAATCGATAGAACTGGGAGCCGTCTGTCAAATTATCACCAACAAGCTCTTTCAGCAATCAAGATGATAATATCATCCCTGGATCTAGGGTAGGCCGTCATTGTAAATAAGAATGTGTTCTTAACTGACTTGCCTAGTTAAATAAAGGTAAAATAAAAATAATCACCAGTCAAGTAGATATACTTGGCGGAGAAGGGAACAGACGAGCCAAAATTTCTTTTTCACTCACTTCTAAGGTATCGAAAACTGTTATTACAGAACATTTAAGTTCAGACCACTCTATTATCACAATCCAACTTGTCATTGAGGAATTTCCAAGATGTTCAGGGTTTTGGAAGTTTAACCAATCCTTACTGGAGGATGTGCATTTTATTGATAACACCAAACAAATTAATAATTGAATTCTCTAACCACAAAACAGACTCAGCTGATCCGCATATTGTATACACATTCAAAAGCGCCTTCAGGGGACATGCGATAAAACATTACTTTTGGAGAAAGAAAATGTTTCTGGCCAAGGAAAAGCTTTTAACAGAGGAAATTATCGCTCTAAACCAACAAATTGACAATTCTTCTAAAGATTAAATTACAACATTACAATTACTCAATGGGGAAAAAAAGTGCTAAAGAGACTTTCAACAGAGGGTTGGTGGTATCATTGTGAGTTCGATTCCCACGGGGGTTATGAAAATAAATAAATAAATAATAATAATAATAATAATATATGCACTCACTAACTGTAAGTCGCTCTGGATAAGAGTGTCTGCTAAATGACTAAAATGTAAATGTAATCTATAGGTCTAATGGTCGTGTCTGGCTCAGTTGGTAAACCATGGCGCTTGCATCGCCAGGGTTGTGGGTTCGATTCCCCCGGGGGACCAGTATGAAAATGTATGCATTCACTATTGTAAGTCGCTCTGGATAAGAGCGTCTGCTAAATCACTAAAATGTAAAGCCACATGGATGGAACATGGTGAAAAATGCTCAAAATATTTAATGCGTCATGGAGGAGGAACTACTTTATGCCATTGAATCATTCAAAATGTGCAAGTCACCAGATGGAATTCCAATTTAGGCATATAAAACGTTCTTAACAGAAATTAAGAAACATCTACTATCCTGTTTTAACAGTTCTTTCAATGTTGGAAGCCAATCGGGCACCCAACAGGAGGGTAAAATGTCCTTATTATTAAAGCAAGATGCAGACGGTCAATATAAAGACCCAATTCAACTTTAAAATTGGAGACCCCATCACGTTACTTAGTTGTGATGCCCATATACTATCAATGTATTTCCTTCAGAGTTAATAATGGTTACATCTCTCATAGTTTGAAATTATCAAGAGCAGTGAGACAGGGTTGCTCGCTCTCACCGTATCTATTTTTAATTGGAATTGAAATACTAGCTATGAAGGTGAGAAATAATATAGCGATCGAAGGATTAGACATGTATGGTTTCATGACCAACATTTCTACCTATGCAGACAATCCCACCTTCCATCCTCGAGCGGCCTTCATAAGTGC